TGCTTTAGGAATATTGTCGTCTACCAGCCTCATGTGTTCACTCTCAGCACTTCAAAAGTATAGTTTGAGTCAATTTTATTCCATTTATTACTCATCTACTTGCTAGAATGTTTTAATAAATTTCATCTGCCTTTTTTGAAACAGCAAAATTTACGTTTTGTTTTCATGAGTTGATCACGTATTGATATCAGTTAGAGAACCATTGAAAACTGGCTACAATCCGTGATCAACTCGTAAAAACAAATCTAATCCTTAAAAACTAACGATTGCAAATTTGCGTTTGTTAAGAAACTTCTTCAGTAAAATTTTAAGATGATTTTGTATACTACTGAAATGCCCCCTTGATTACTATATATTTTATTGAAAAATTTATGAATCATTTTATAAACAACAAAATGGAAAGCTCAGATTTTCTAATGCGTGTATAGGTATATTTATAAATTTATAAATAACTAATAAGCTTGGATGGCCATATTCGTAACCATATCCTTCAATATAACTGTATACATATATGAACAGCTGTATTTAAAAGGTTTAACGTTCATGTTATAGTAGTTGGCGGTGACTGTCAGTGGAATTCAAGACTCGCATTTCATCCTATTAAGGACTCAGCGACTTTATGCACGTGCATTTCAAGTAAGTGATGTTGTCCCCGCTGAGAGTTGAACACAGAAGCCATCTTTTCAAACGTCAAGATTTTATCAGTTAGGCCACTAGACGATGGGAAGCCACCACTTATTCGATAGGCATCAGTTATTACTGTCTAAGTTAATTTGCATCTCCCGTCAACTAAAATAACATCATGCTACTCTTCAGACATCTCTGAGGTGTCCGTATTGAGAACCCTTACGTCAACAGAAACCGAGCACTTCTCTCTGAGGTAATCAGTCAAAGAGAAATGCGAATTAACCTGAACAGTTTCACATTTCGAAGGAAAAAGATTGAGTCGAGCGCACTTTTTCAGATAATTCCCTAATCAGGTTCTACAGTTACATAGACACAGTCCATAAATAGTCCCCATCCTACCACAAATGAAAAGAAATAAAGAGGTAATTCAAGGAAGAGGTTGTTTTCAGAGAAATCCATACCTCCACCTGAAGAAATCAAACTTATGTATTCAGAAGAAGTTCGTTCATTACTTGACTGCAAAAGAGTGATAATTTCCTCTTCAAATGAATGGATTTAAAAGAGGTCACCGCCTTCATTTATCTGGTCAGACACCATTGTTTCGGTTACAGAGTACCAAAACCAGAATCGGAAAGGCAAGACAGACCTTTAACACTCTGAAAGACTTTTCAGAAATCTGATGCACTAAGCATAAAAAACGAAATTCAAATTTTCAGCACTAATTTTAAGTCAGTCAATTCTTATGTATGATTCAGAAACTTGCATTGTGAGTCATGAAAAGCACTTCCGATAGGCCACTGCAGACCTTTACCAACAGCTGCCTTCGATGGCTCCATAATGAAGATTAGATTCCCAAATAGAATTAGCAGAGAGAAACTCTGGAAACGAATCAGTCAGGAACCTATTGCTCGACAAATTTGTCTAAGAAAATGGAGATGGATTGGACAAACTGTGAGGAGACTGTCGAATGACATAGCGCTCCAGTCCCTATAATGGGACTGGAATAGTAGATGACGAATTGGACATCTGAGTGTGACATGGAGCAGATCGTTCGAGGAGGAGATGACAGATTATGGGAGTTCATGGGTCCAGTTTAAGGTGACTGCAGAGAACAGGACAAAGTGGAGATGTATTATTGAATTCATATATTCCACTCGGAACGTAAGGGGACAATAATAATATCAAATATCACTTACGCATGCTTTTGAAATGTAATTTTGTTGATGTTCATGATTGTATATTGTTATTAAAAAGAATTAGTGTTGTGAATAAGAGTTACTCTGTTTGTCATACTTATGTCTAAACAAGACTGTTTATAATAGAATAGGGCCTGAGAAAGATCTGATTGAAAAAAGCGTTGTTCTTTTATGTGGCTTTTTTAACTGATAAATTATTACTGCAGCTAAATTCTGACCTATATTTCATGAATTGCTTTAATGAACATGTGCATATATACCTCTCCTGTTACAGTCAGATGACAAGAAACATAGTCGGTTATTAGACTAATTGCAAACATAAACAATAGGCAGTCTATAGTTTGCCAATATGTTATAATGGATCACCACTTTCAGCGGAGTCTTTCAGGGACTCTAAGCAAACCTTTAACATTGAAGCACAATGGAACTGAAAACAATACCTGCGTAAATTTGTCCCTAATTTGTTACTAATAAAATAAACGTCAGTTACCAGGCTCTGAAAAATCCGTATGTTGTTTTTTTAATCCCTAGATTTCGTATCATGGAATTCTGAATGACTGATTATGTTGGGCAGGAATACTTAGTCTCTGCTGACATGTCGGTTTCTAGTATGGAACCCTAGACAATGCCTTAAGCTAGAGATGATGTTATTTGTTTGTTTGGTTGAGACTAGCACTCGTATTGAGGACACTCTTTTCTTTCTCCAGGAGTCATAGTCTTCCCAATGAAACTCAACCCCAGCACCCATCATTTCAGGCTCAGAAGTGTTACTGGATAATGACAGCCACCGCTAATGTCACGAATGTCACTAGTTATTTATTTATTGATGCTTGAAAAAAAGTGGGTACTAGGTTTGAGTAACATCAAGGCCACCATCACTCACCGGCAATGTAGCCGACGCTTCAAGAAAACGACGGAAAGCGAGTCACACATTATTCCACTACTATCTGCCAGAAACAACGGTTCTCTTCCTTTACGTTACCATTGGAACATACGACTTCAAGCTAGAGGCTTGAAGTTTCACTAGCAGTGGTATTTGCTTCTACGAGATGGGGTTGCTGCTAGCCTCATGTCAAACCTTTCCTCCTTACCAGTTTTATTGATGGCTTATCGAGGTAAAGGAATGTGTCATTCGGGGAACGAACTCTGAACCGCATGAGGCGTGACTGGCGAGCATTCTACCACTTTACCACCGACGCAGTACCCGAACTTGAAACAAACCAAATCCTTAAGATCGAAATCATGAAAATTAATATGGCCCTGGTTAGTGACTGGCTTTAAGATGAAGTTACCTAGATTTCTAATGTGATACGACGTGACCAGTGGAGTGCATCAGGCAGAGTATCAAGACAAATACTCTCACCAATGGCATCAACTTGTGGTCATAAATTTATAGAAGTTAAAATTTAAGGGTCACTGGATTCTGGCTCATGTGACTGAATAGTCAATGGACTTTTCCTCATAACACATGAATGTCTTGGGTACGATCCCCATGATCAACACCATGTTTTAAGTTAGTTATGGAAATTATCAATTTTTCTATCAGTAGACAAGAAAAATAGAAGATAATTATATTCATCATTCAATGTATGACAAAGAAAGTATTGCTTTTTGCAGGGATTATGCTTGATTGGTTGGAGGATTTCATCATGAGTAGACATCTTATGCTCACTGATGACTGGGCCTATTTAGGCAGTGGCCTAGGGTTCCACTGGGAAGCCGTGACCAGTAGGGTACAGCAGGTGGAAGGTGAGGTAGTAACTCAACGAAGGAGATATTGTGAAGTGGTCGCACTATGTCATGAATTGGCAGAAGTTAGAATTAATGGGCTAGCCATTGATTGGATCGGGTCCCAGTGGCTTAATGGTCTACGAGCTCACTAGCCTTTTAACCAGAAGGTTATGGGTTTGAACCGTGATGGTGGGTCTCTCTGTCTGTCTGTCTGTTTTCGACGTAGAACTTTGCTCTTGTGTGCGGCAGTTCAAAACGCCACACTCCCTTCTTGTAGCACACAAAGAAAGAGAAGAAATTAGGAGAAATGCATATTACAGACAGTAAACACAGGTGTGAGACAAAGGTATAGTAATAGTGAAGAAAAAAACAGTTTCATTGGAAATCATAAGTCACAAGGAGTGGATGCATCTGAGCCAGCCATTGAGAACGGTTTTGAGCCATATCACCAATTGTTTCCAACCATTGGTTTTTACCGTCCCGAGGACCCCAACCAGGAAGTCTACACCTTTCTACGTAGTTGGCTTAAACTAACTGTTGTAGATTTCATTGACTGGTGCCATGTTTTCGCTTGACCGCCGATAGCTCTTTTCTAGCCTGACCCTATATCAGCTAACATTACCTGTCGGTCGAGGAAGTCGATGGCTAGGCATACGTAACACATGTCCTAATCATCTCAGTCGATGTAATTTCACAGTCTCATCGATTGATTTCCCCACCTTACCTAGCACCCAACTGAGGCCTAACCTCGATATTGCTCACCTTATTATACCACTTCACGCGGGAGATGGAACGCAGACACCTATGATCGAAGACAGCTAATCTTTTCATGTCTTCTGCTCTCAATGGCCAGGTCTCACAGCCATAAAGGAGGACGGAGCGGACTGATGAGCAGTACACACGCCCTTTGGTCGATAGTCGGATATCGCGTCTACACCAGAGATGGCGTAAACTGGCGTATGCGAAACTAGCCCTCTGTATTCGTACTGAGATTTCGTCAGATCAACGCGTTGGGGCTGATGGTACTTCCCAAATAAGTGAAGCGGTCAACGTGCTCTACCACTTCACTTCCTATTTCTAATCCAGGAGTCAATGTAGTCCAATCCTGTAGCATCATCTTACATTTGGCGGGAGCGAATCGCATGCCAAACATTCGTAGATTGCAGCTCAAGGTATTCAGTAGACTCTGCATTTTGTCAGAGTCCTCGCCTAGGAGGACTATATCGTCTGCATATTCTAAGTCAACGAGATTATTCCCTGTTAGCAAGTCAGTCCCTGAGTCGCTGAAGTACTGCTCAAGAGTCCCAAACTAGGAAGACACAGCTGACTGTCCCGTACTGCCTGCAGGTTTTCCAATGGTTCTCTACCTGTAGTCAGCTCATGATGAAATCTTCCAACAAAGAAAGTAAAAATAAAAGTGATGAAAGCCAGTGAATTAACACTAACCTTTTTCGTGTATACTTTTTAAACCATAAATTCTTGAAAAGCTCTTTAAAACTATCCATATCACCAGATATTTTTTGTTTCTCCAAAAGATATTCATAAGTCATTTTCATAATTTTTGTTTTCATTATTTCTTCAATAAATTCATCTTCTTCTTTTATTTCTTCTTCAGTGACATTTTCAGTGATACCAACTTGTGGACAATAATTGTCTAGTAAGGCGATGAACTCTAAAAAAATGTAAATAACAGTGTAATTGAGGCAAGTTTAGAGTATGTAATATTGATTAAAAAGAAAAAGAAAAGATATGCATATAAAATGTTCTTTAAAATTTTAAAAGTACATTTTGCAAAAGACTGAGATTTATGAGCAAAGAGAATTCTTTTCGGCTAAGTTAAACTTTAAGCACCACTAACTACCAATCAGCAAGTGACCTCAAATGGTCCAATGAGGTTCACCCACGGGAGTTCAAGGTTGTATTCCTCTTGATTCATGTCAGATGCTTGCTCTAACGAAGTTACGCCTTCAATTCGATAAGGATAAGGTTTTGCAGTATTGCCTGGATGTGGGGTTGCTTGGGATGCAGAGGACTTGTTCATGTGGAGTTTAAAAAGCTTCAGCAGGTCGATTGATGGATATATCCATAGTTATGCTATTTGCTTGAGACAAGTTAGTATTAGGAAAGGTAAGGTGATGATTTTAATATTTCGTAGGAACAATTTTTGATAGGTCGCATCTCTCCATAACCCAGATTTTATATATTTGTAATTACTGGGTTTTGAAAACAGCCTGTGAGAGGCACAGCCGCATGAAACTGAAAATAGCTTTGTGTCAACAGTTCAGTGGTACCAGCACTGCAGAGACATCGCCTCATGGAAAATGGAGAGAATTACTTCGTTGTTAGGTAGAGAAGATGTCGTCGTACACGTGGATGAAACTGTCTTATTGAAGAAAAAATACAACCATGGTCGTGAGCGAGCCAACAATGTTTGGGTGATCGGTTTATATAACATCTCCCTGAAGAAAGGATTCGTGGAGAGAATAGCATACAGAAAAGTCTACTACCTTAGTACCTATTGTCACTCGACTGGTGAAACAGGGATCTATATTACATACCGATGAATGGAGAGGTTATAACTAGCTGTCATCCCTTGGATATATTCATCACAGAGTGAACCATTCTAGTGATTTTGTGGATCCCATCACAGGGACACACACGAATTCTATAGAAGGATTGAAAAATACTATTAGGGCTATAAATAGATCTCAAAAGGATCTCATTTATAGTCATTTGAATGAATAAATTTACAGAATTTGTTAAAACTTTCTGTGGACACTCCGATGCTAAACTGGGAGATGTTTCTGTCACATTTTAAAGAAAGATACGCTATGTAACGGTTATGTGCAGTTTTTGAGCTTTTTTTCATAAATATACGTTTTCTATAATCGAAAATCCCTCTTTCGTGTGATTGGTTAGTTGAAGGTCGTTCGCTGATAGGTAGTTAGTGGTGCTTAAAGTTTAACTTTGCCATTATTAATAAAAGCATTCATGTTTTCAGTAAACCTGAATCAATAATATCAACAGCTTAAAGAGTTCAAAAGTGCCAATATAGCACCTAATTGAATATCAGATAGATGTAGAAATATAATACAGAAATTATGGGTCCCACAGCTGGCCAAGTGAGTCGGTAGTTCACCGATTGAAGGCTTGTCAACCAAGCCTCATGTGGTCGAGGGTTTGATCTCCGGCCAGTGCACTCCTAAACTACGCTCAGCCGGTTAAGAGGCGAGGTTGGGCATGACGCTAGAAACCCTTATCTGTAAAAGTAAAACCACTGCTACCGAAACTTCATAGCTCTAGTTTGATACCATGTGTTCCGCTAAGAACTTAAAGGATTAAAGAAAAACAGCTGGCCAAGGTGGCAGTAGTGGCTGGACTCGTTTCTTTTGCACACAGCGCTCTGGTTATTCTAAGCTAATTCCAATGGCTTTTGACAATTTATTTGGTACCAGAGAGATGACAGGAAAATGATTCTTCAACACTGGCTTTGTGACCTGTTTGGACGACGCGATCTAATATAGAACTGTTGATTTAGCCACACTGGTAGGTGTTCCCGAGCATGAAAACCCAAGTTTCTTGAGCAACGGTCAATGTAACCGTCTGCACAGGAACATTTGAATTGATTGACACAAAAAGAGATGGCTAGTCTAGATACATCATCTTTCAGTTGGAGAATCACAACCAGTCGCTAAAATTTCTTCGAATAGTTTTCCTCAACTTATTGGTTAATAATTCACATGTCATATGCAATCTTAAATTCATTTTCAATTATATCTTCCAAACATATAGCTCTGACCAGACAGCTGAATATTCTTTGTTCACTAATGCATATTTTGAACTGTTTAAAGCGCGCCGCTAAACAATGAAATAATAGTTGTCAAGATACATCAAACAGTTTTAAATAAACAGATATCTGGTGACGATTATACACATTCTGAGTTAAGCAAATCCAAGTGTAAGTATGATTACTGATATTTAGAACTATTGGTAAGGAATGCAGAGATATAAACATACATGAAATAATCGGCTAACAACCGGTTATCGTACGCACTAGTTTACACTGCTGTGTAATAGGCACTAATAGGTACTTGGTGATCATGTCCCGTATATTAGTAGAGTAAAAGTCACTGATATGGACCCTACAGACCAGTGGGTTTTCAACTTCAATCAGCACTGCTTTACATCAAAATAAACAGCCAAAACAATTAGAATATTTCACATAGTCTGACAAATAATCCATATTTCCTTTACAAGTTTTGGTTTTTCAGGGATTTGATGGATCTGAACTTAGATCACGAAATGACATCAATTAAGGAAGAAGTGGAAATCAGGCAGTGTTGGACAGTTAGCTGTTAAATCCTAATTGCAGACTATTCCTCATTTCCTCTCTTTGGATCTTCCAGTAGCGTTGATATGTTCTTAAGATGTAGGGTTTCAAGCCTCACTCTCAAACCCCCCTCGTTTCCGAGCTTACTAGTGCCTAGTAAAACTAACCAAGGTTTAGGAGTGTTTCAAATTTCTACAAAGCAAAGCTTGAAAATTAATCTAATGCTCACTAGTGACTGACGTTAGAATAGAATGTCTGGAGTTCCGGTGAGAAGTCGTGATCAGTAGGTGCATCAAGTCATGTGTGAGGACACTGAATCACCGATGACTGTGAGTGGCGGTGGTACTGTACATTATGAATTTGGTGAGGTTAGAATTCATACACCATTGGATTCCAACCTAGTATCTGAGTGGTCAGCCAGCTCGCCTCGTAATCTGAATTTCCCGTGGGGACATGGGTGCACACAGCTGAATAGTCTAAAAGAAAGTGAGCGAAACAGCCGTTCATCACTCTGTGATATTAATTCGTAACGTAACATGAGATCAACTTCAATCTATGTTGCTTTTCCGATTTCCACACCACATTAAAATATCTCTTCAATTAGTTGAATCCTTGAAAGTTAATTATAATTTATTCAGGTATGTGAACTTTCAATAGTAGTTAGAAATCGAGATTAGTTAAATGTAACATTTCTGGTTAGAAAAAACAACAACAACAACACTAACGCTAAGGTACAAATATTCAAACTATTGTTTAGTTATTATTTCACTCATTATAATGGTAACTAATGCCATTGTTATAACAATGGTATTAGTTACCGTGTTTATGAGGTCATGTAGAGATTATGACCAGATAGTTAGTATATTCTTAGCATAACTTATTACTTATTTAATAGTAGGTTGTATAAACACGCTAATATATCGCTAGTAGTGCACACCTAACAGCTCACTTCTTTTTGAATTCCATGCTAATAATTTTGTTTAAAAACAGTAATATTATTAAAATTATAACAATAAAGGTCAATTAATTTAATCACCTAACTCATAGAAAGTATCACAATCATTTTTGTTAATCGAACGAGATGCAAAACATAACGATCACGTTCATACTACTTATCGTTGTGGTTAATACTCATCAGATCTCTCCTAGTTTGATCTTATTTAACGAATCCAAATAAGCATGATCTAGTACAATTCATGAACTTGTGAGATGATACATAACTTTAATTCTACTCATTTTGTACTACGAAGTATCTGCTTATAGGTATTATCTCTCATAATCATATTAACAATTGTAACTACACAACTTCAGTTTCATAATTGTCTTCCTTCCTTTTTCATTTGTCGTGAGGGTAGTGGAATTTTTCAGGTGCCTGAGTAGAGAGATGTTGAATCATCTGCTATTCTATACATTCTCAGCTGATTCGACATATTAAACTTCAGTGATGTCAATCTCACCTCTCATCCCTTACCGTTGTGCGTTTGACTCAAAGACTTCCATGCTGTCTGATTTCGATTGTGTGACTGTGTGTAATTTAATGTATTCCTATCACTGCATGTTTATTGCTAGATGTCTTGTTTTATTTTTTTATTCTTTTACGTTCTCAGTGAAACCAACGGCTTCAAGCTAGAGACTTGAAGTCTGAGTACCAGTGGTGTATACTTTTACGAGATGGGGGCGCTGCTAGCCTCATGCCCGATCTTCCCTCCTTAACAGTCTTATTAATGGCTAAGCGAGGTAAAGGATTGCGGCGTTGGCCGGGGATCGAACCCCGAACCACATGAGGCGTAGTTGGCGAGCATTATACCACTGTGTCACCGAAGCACGTCTTCTCTTATTAGTGTCAACTAATCTAGATTATGCTAGTTTGTTGTGCTCTGCTGACCTGACTGACCCAACCCTGTTATTCTGGTCTGTGTGAATGCAATGACAATTAGTACTGGGTATCAGATAAACTAAGTCATTTTGTTTAATGATCTCCTCAAGATCCTTTAGCCAACTCATTTTTTCCCTTACTAAGTATGTGGGTTTAAAAACCACTTTTACCCATACTTTGTTAAGAATTCTACGTTAGGTTTCAGAGATTCCCTCTCTTTATAGAAGGATCACTCATGTTTTAAATCCCCTATTATTGGTGCTGTCATCTTTCTGAGTATGTTTCTCATGCATGTTTCCCTTATTATTGTCAATATTGTTAATTAATTTTATCTTTGGGGATAAAATCGTCAGATCAATCGTCAGCTTCAGATTTCGCTGATGCATGGTTTTATAAATGAAAAACTTTAAAAACAACTTAAAGCAGTTGGGTCACATACTCTCTGGCTTTATAGCCTTCCGAAGAT